AGGAATCACCAAGCAGAGCCTGAGGAGAGCCAGCATCACCCCCAGCGCTCAGCCAGCAGCATCAGCTGAGCTCTGCTCATTCCCACTCTTGAATATTCATTGTGCCCCAATGCAATATATCCTGAATATTAAACAAGAGCTACTCAGGGCAGGAATATCAATCCCTAGGCAAAGCTGCTGGTTGTTTGGGGAAAGGAGGGCTGCCAGCTGTGGGGAGATCGACAGCATTGCTGCTCCTCCACCTGCCAGGGAGGTGGTGCAGGGGAGGAGGGCTGGCAGCCTTGCAGCAGCCACCCTGCATGCAGCCCAGGAGATGCAAGGGCACACAGCCCCCTCCACCAACGCTGCAGCCCAGTGCTGCTCCTGGGACAGCACTGCTGCCCAGCCTTCAAGCAGGGCTACAAAAGCAGCTCTCCAAAACTGCTGGCTATGCATGTTTTAAAGCAAAAATAGATTATGCTTCCTCCAAAGGGTGGTACCTTCCAACGTCAGCAGCTCAGGACCCCTTGTCCCATCTCACTGAGCTCTGCCCAGCACAGCCAGCCTTCAGGCAGGGCTGGTCACTGAGGTGGCTCAAGTGCCAGGAGCAGAAAGAGGGAAAAAAACCCCAACTAAAATAGAAAATGCAGCAGCTGTGAGCTCTCCAGAAATGCAGCCAGTGGATGGGAAGGATGGAGACTCTCACCCTCCACAGCCCCTCTGTGCAAGAGGGCTGCCTGAAAGGGAGCCCTTTCTCAACAGCTCAGGAGGGAAAAGCAGACAGGCAACCACACCCCGCTGCAGAAACACAGGACTTTGATCAAAGAAGGTGACACCTGTTCTTTAAAAAGAACCTCATCTGCAAACCATCCTTCTGCCTCCAGAGAGCCGGGACTCCAGTTCTGGGCTGCCATCTTCCAGGATACAAAGGCTAGAGATGAATCCTCCAGCCTCATCCCAAACATAGGATCACCAAGGGATTTTCACACAGTTTTATGCTTTCATTTTCCAGCTCAAGCTGCTCTTGAGATAGCAACGTTGAAATCATCTTGGATGTGAATGTAGATTTGGAAAAAGTGAGAGATTAATCAAATCAAAGCAGTTTGCAGCTCTGCTATCTCAATATCCATAATAGCTTAGTTATTAATAAGATAAAAAAGAAAACCCTGCCTAAAAAGATTTCTGGGAAGCAAAGCAAATGATCAAAGATCCCAGCTCTCAGTGCTGGTTCCTGGCCCCCGTGACCTCCAAACAGTCAGTATTTAAGCAGGGATGAGGATGATCTTCTGGGTGTTCAGTGTCAGCTGAGCACTTGCTGCTCTGCCCGAGGGCAATGATGGGGATGAGAACCCTGTGGTGGGGACCCTGGTGTGTGGCACAGGTTTCCCTGCTCAGGGAGGTCACTAGATAACAAACTAGCTCTGAGGTAACACTAAAAACACCCAGAGCTGTTGAGCAGCTCATGGCTGAGCTGGGGGGCCCAAAGCCCCCTTGCCCACACAGCCGAGGCTGTGGCACCTGAGGGGACACGTGTCCCTTCCTCAGGTCCCCACAGCAATGGGGGCTCCAGCCTCCACCACCACTGACCTGGAGTGAGCCTTGGCTGGGGCTGCATCCCCTTGTCTCCCCTTCTGGAAATAAAACAGCCAAAGCATCCCTGGCTCAGGGCTCAGGGGCCAACAGCTCCGACACCACCAGAACCCTGTTCCTGCTGGGAACTGCCCCCATCTGTTCTGTGGGAGTCTCAGCAGTCACAACTGCAGCCCTTGTCCTCAGCTGACTCTTCTTGGTGTGAAGAAACAGAGATATACACACCAAAATTCCTCTAAGCCCCATGGCAGTGCAGTAAATTATAAATCAAGCAGCAATCTGTGACTCACCCTGCACTAGTGGGAACACACTCGCAGCTCCCAGGTGAGCAAGTCCCACGGGGAAGCATGATGGAGGATTTTCCTCAATTTTCTACCCTACCACTCTCCTAAAAGCCTTGAATCACTACCAGCTCTCTGCACAATTTGTCAGCACAGGGAGGCTTTGTTAACCCTGTCTCACTCCCACAGCCCCACGGGAGGCAGTGCTGCTCTGACAGGTAACAGAGGATGGGTTTTCCACCTGGCTCATGGCTCCTTCTCCAGCAGAGAGCAAATGTGTTACAAAACACCACACTTCTCTTTCTTTTGCATATTTCCAGCCTGTCAATCTACAGAAGACTCAGCGCCAGCAAAGGAAAAGCCTCCTCGGAGCTGGCCCTTCTCTGGCTCTTTAAAGGGATCAGAGCTCACAGAAAAGCCACTGACAGTGGCCAGTAATTAAGGCAAAATCCTTTCTTCAAATACTCCTTGCACCAGAAATCGTGGCCGGAGGAGCCAGCTGGAGCTCTGCACACAGAGCTGCTCTTGCTGTGTCCCCCAGCGTGGCCCTGCCCCAGCCCTGGCACCGCAGCGCGGGCAGGACCCAGGCAGGCAGGATGCCAATGACAAATTTCAAACAATCTGAATTTATAATTGGCTGAGATTTCAGCAGGCAGATAATGCACTGCTGTCCGGGCACTCGCTGTATCTAGGTCAGGCCATTCGTTTTGCTCTTAATCCACACACAGTTTTAATTTCATCTTTAATGTTGACTTCCAGCCAGCGCTCAACATCTCGACCCCTCCCACACCCACCAAGAGGGAAAACAAGCACCACCATCCTGATGGATGCTGCCAGCCATGCTCACACAGCAGGAGCTGCCTGCTGGAATGGGGAATCAGAGAACCATGCAATGGTGTCTGCAGCTGATAACCATTGACATGAACCTTCCCAGGGAAACAGAATGGCACTGCATCCATGCCTGGCACCCCAACTTCACAAAGCTCCTGGACATGACCCAGCACTCCATCCTCTGCCCCAGCCTGCCTGGCATCCATGTGGTCCCTGCTCAAATCCAGAAAACTGCTCACACCGGCTGAATTGTAATTTATGACATAAACAAATGGAGTTGAAGATGCACAAAATAAACCCATCATGTGCATTAAAGGGATTAAAGATGGTTCCTAAAGCATCTGGAGGTGTATAATACAGTATGGATGGATCATTGCAGAGCACCCATGGGGAAGCCAGGCTGCTGGCACACGCTGGAGACTTTAGATGTAAAACCAGCTTGGAAGAAAGGGGAGCACTGGGAGAAGGTTTCTCACTTACACATACTAGTCCAGTTTCAGGCACTCAGCTCTTCTAAAGAGACAAAAAAAATTCCCCACCAAAGATTTCTGTGTAAAGCACAGCCCTTCTGACAACAGGAAGTTACTCACTTCAAAAATCCAATTTTTCATCAAAAAAATCTAACTTGAAAGGCGTTCCCAGCTCACTCAGGATGCGGGATCAAAGCCAGGGATTAAGTGCATCTGCTCACTGCTGGCTGCCCGAGAGCATTGCAGAGCTCTGGGAGCAGCCTCCGAGCTCACCAGTGACGTCCTGAGGAGGGGACAGAGGGGCAGAGCCCTGCCATGGGCACGGGACATGGGAGGCAGCAGCTGCTCCACTGGCCACAGATTCCCAGGCAGCAGCATCCTATCAGCACATATTTAAGGATTTTGAGTATTTCAGGTGCTTGCAAGGATTTTCATTGCTGCCAAGGAGCACACAGTGGTTGGAGCTTGGACCGAGACCATGTAAGGAGATGGCACAAGATGCCAAAACAAAACTGGCTCTGTTGGTGAAGCCCAGCATCGACCCTGAGCAATCTCTGCAGTGGAGGCAGAGTGTCAGGAAAAGAGACACCCAAAACCAGCCCCACCAACGCACAGCCAGAGGCAGGGATGTGCCGGAGGATGAAGCAAAAGGAGGAAACACATTGAGGTCCTCTCCAGGTAGCTTGGTCACCCTCACCCCTGCTCCCCCAGCAGCTCCAGCCCTGCAGAGACTGAGGAGCTGGGCAAGATGAATGGCACAGGAAAAATGGTTTCAGCAGAGGAAAGCTTCCATCCATGGCCAAAATCACTTCAGATTCTTATTTAAAAGGGACAAGAATAGTGTTCTGGCAACCTGCTAGGCTTCCTCAAAAGGATTTGCCTGGCTGGAACAGGCTAGATCAGGGAGGAATATTCCAGGGTTTTAATTTCTCTGTCCAGGCTTTACTGCATGCAAACATACATGGTCACTGCTTTCGAAGGTTTCCAATTTGCTAATTGAGACATTTCCTCATGGAAAAAGAATGTCCTGGACTACGGACAGGGCTGCTGGCGCAGCTCTGCACACCGGGGAAGCTTAGGTGAGGATGATGAGATGGGAGACTGGCAGGAAAAGCAAGCCTCCCCAGGCCCCATTTGGCAGCACTAACCCAAAGCCAAACCTGGTGGCTGGAATATGAGGAAGAAACACCCAGGACATCCCATCTTATTCCTCATGCCATCTGGGGTGTTTAGTAACAGCACTGGGCACATCACAGTAAGCTCAGGAGAGTCTGGAGACGGGGAGGTGAGAAACCAGCCCAAGAAACTGGACATCTAGGAAGATTTCTTTCCAGGCACCAGTTTGTTTAAAAACAAGGAGGAAAAAAAATAATCTGGTCTGTCCAAAAAGCCCCAAGTGTTCTGTGTTTTTGCTGGAGCACTGAAGTATTCCTTCTGCCCTCAAAATACACGAGTAGAGAGAGTGGTTTTGTTCTGAACATGAACAGGTCAAAGATCCCAGAAAAGAACTTCTGGGGCAGAATGAGCCTGGAACATGAAGGGAGAAAGGGCAGAGGAAGCAGCAGCTGAGAAAGGCATGAGCAGGGTTCTAATGGGAACACGACTGCTGCCACAGTCACGCCTCACCAGCATGACCTCAGATGCGACTTGCAGGTTTTTTCATTTAAAAAAAAAAAGGAATGAAAAGTGTTTTGCAGGCTTATTCAGAATGCATGGGGGGCAGAGGGGAATTTCAAACTTCATAAAGGTCAAACATCATCCACACAGGTTCACATCACATTTGCCACAACCTCAGCTCCCACATACAGACCGAGCTTCAGAGCGCTCCGGAGGAATCCTGCGGCCTTACCTTCAGCTTCTCGAAGCGATCGCTGAGCGATGCCACTTGGTGGTCCCGGTGGCGGCCCACCAGTTTACATAAGGCACAGATGAGCTGGTCATCAGCGACACAGTACATGTTCACCTTCTCGTTCTCGTGCTCCAGGCACGTCAGTCCGCGGAAGTGCGCGTCGGGCACGGGCTCCACCAGCCGGTGGCTGGTGAAGGGCTTCTTGTTGGGGTGGGTGGCGCGCAGGCAGCGGTCGCAGTAGGACACCTCGCAGGTGATGCAGGTCTTGACGGCGTCGCGGGGCGGATCCTGCTCGCAGAACTGGCAGGCGATCCTCTCGCCGGCCACGGACATGGTAGGGCTGTTGCGGTAGGTCCTCTCGCGGCGGCTCTCGCTGGGGGAGTTGGGGCCGCTCAGCGACGCCTTCTGGAAGCGGTCGATGATGTTCTGCAGGGTCACATTCCTCTTGAGGCCCTCCAGGCCCCGGTGGTTGAGGGAGATGACATAGCGGCACGTGGGGCACTGGAAGGCGGTGATGGGCTCGATGGACTCGCTGGAGGAGCAGCTGGACACCAGGATGCGGTGGGCACAGCTGAAGCAGAGGCTGTGGGCACAGGGCAGCAGGAGGGGGTCCTCGAATAACTCCAGACAGATTGGGCAGGTCAATTCTGACTCCAGTGTTTCCATCTTTAGTTAACACAATCCTGATTCAGCATCAAAAACCAAGGAAGGTGGTCAGGAACCTGCAAGGAAGGAGAGCAGAGATGTGAGACTACAGCTGCACTCCCGGGCTGCTCCTCTCCACCAGCAGCAGGTGCCTGGGGGGTTGGACACGTCAGCCCCACAACACCCTGACATCCTCTGCATTCTGTCAACTCCAGCCCTGCCAGGCCCCTGCCAGCACAGGCTGGAGCTGTCCCACCCCACACGGAGCAGAGCCTGCAGCCGCAGCGGGACAGGAGCCGAATGCAGGGGATGGGACAGGAGGAGCAGCAGCTCCTCTCACATCTTCCAGCCCAGCCAGGGCAGGACCTGGACCATAGGGATGGAGACAAAACCAGGAGAAACCACATGATTTCATGTTTGTGTTGGGATGTGCTGCCAAGAGTGGGGCGTGGCCGTGCTGACGTTCCATGCAGAAGGGCTGCTCTGCATGGCACAGATAAACCTCTTAACATCCCCTCCAGCAGCTCCAGGCCTGCTTCTGCTGAAGGAGAAAAAGCAAATCAAGTAGTGGAAACTTTGAGCAGAGCAGGTTGGGAGCTCTTAACACCCATCCTGCTCCCTGCTTTTCCTGGCCATTGCTTTTTGGAGCAGGATGGGGAGGGCATAGCAGCGAAATTATAGTTGGCAAACTTCCACTACTGGCTGTCCTCTGCTGCACTCCACAACAGCCAGGGATACCTAAATCAACTCCAGCTGGAGGCAAACAGGCTGTATTTTTAGCTCCCTTCCCTTGCATGAGGCTGGAAAACAGCTCCCAGCAGGCAACTCAACCTGCTGCTCCCAACTCTGGTTTGCAGAGCACCAGGAGCTGCACCCCAAGTGCTACCCAGCCTCTGCCAGCATCCCATGTACTGACACAGAACCAGATGCATCCTCTCCCTTCTCACCCACAACCCAGTGCACAAGTGGAACCTCCTGGTTTCCTCAGCCACAGCAAGGCAGGCTCTGAGTGATGCCCACCGTGGTTACCTTCATTGTGGGTGTGAGGAGAGCCCTGTTCAGTCACAGCCACAGGAACCCCTCACCCTGGCACTGCTGCAGGAACTGACCCTGTGGGAAGCAAGGTGGTGCCCAGCCCAGCCCTGTTTTCTGCCCTGGAACATCCTTGTGTGGTGCACAGGCTCTGCCTGGGGAGAAGAGGAAAAACCCTTCCCTGTGAGGGTGGGCAGGCCCTGGCACAGGTTGCCCAGAGAAGCTGTGGCTGCCTCTGGATCCCTGGAAGTGCTCCTAGGCCAAGTTGGAGAGTGCTTGAAACAACGTGACATAGGCAGAAGGTGTCTCTGCCATGGCAGGGGATTGGAATTGGAGGAGCTTTAAGGTCCTTCCAACCCAAACCAGTCTGGGAATCCATGAAAAAAGGGCTGTAACCAAAGTGTAGGGGGATGACCCAACAGCAGGAGAGGGTCTGGCTGCTGGAAGCCCCAGGCTGCTGCTGGCACCTGCAAATGGCAAACTGCACAGGTGCCACACTGGGACATGCCCCATGCCATGCCATCGTACACATCAGTTCCACCACCCCCACCCCAGTGCACCATCTCTTCCCCCCTGTCTGAAATAGGATATGCCTGGAGGAAACCCTGAGCTCTGCCCTGTGCCTGCTCAAGGGGCTTATAAAATAAATCCATTGGATATTTTGATACCTTCATGCTGAAGCAGCTCTTGCTGCCAAAATGCAGCCTTGCACACACGCACACACATTTAAAATTATTTTTCTTTTCCCCAAGAAAGACAGAGGAGAAGTTGCTGGATCCAAACAGGCAGAGGAGCACGAGGGTTCCCAGCAGCTTCCTCTGCACAGCCCACGGAGGGGCTCTGAAGGCTCGGAGCTGCCGCAGCCATGGGAAAGCAGTGGGGAGGAAGCGCTCCTGGCCCTGTTCCTGCTGGCTCTTCGGGCTGCCCTGCATCCAGCGGGCTCCCCACGCTGCAGGCTGGCAGGATGAGGGGCTCCAGCACACCCCCAGTGCTCGGGGCACCTCCTGGCACTGGGGTTGGTGAGCCTGCCACGCTGGGAGCGGTCCCTCCTGTGCCAGAGCTGGGCACACGGCAGCTGCCTGGCCCCAAGAGCCCCAGGCCCTGCTGCACAGCCCCTCCCCAGTCACTCAGGGGCTCTCTCTGCTCAGCAGCCACAAAGACAAAAAAAAAAAGAAAGGACAAGAACAGGATTTGTTACATAGCCTGACTGAGACTGGGAAAGAACTTAAGAATCAGGATTGGCGTGAGAGGCTCCCCAACAGCTCACCAGAACCAGCTGTCCCAGGGAGCAGCATCGCACACTCCCACATCCAACTCCAGGCTTCACGTGCAGCTCTGTTGTTGTCCAAGGGAAAACAATGCAAAAGCTTTAAACAGCCTTTGGTTCTGTTGCTGAGGGACATTTGTACATTAATCTCATTTACCTTGCTGGGACAAGAGCTTTTACCTGTGACATACGCAAGAGGAGCCTCAGGCTGGGACAGGAGCAGGAGCCCTGTCGGAGGTGTGCAGGAGGCCCAGGAGCCTGCTCAAAGGAGTAAAGAGCAGGGACAGGGACAGGAGCCTGCCCGAGCTGCAGGAACCCTGCTGGAGGTGCAGGAGCCCCCTCGGAGGAGGGAGGGGAGCCCTGCTCCAAGATGCTACACCTGGCAAAGCAGCCCTGCTGCCATCAGAGCCTTTCATGCCTCTCACTTTGATGTTCTCTTTGATGTCCAGGACTGACACAGCTCAAGGAATAGTTGATTAGATTAAAATATGCTTTCTTTAGAGTCATTAACTCACTAAATATAAAAGTTATAAAATACTAACACTGTTTAGAGACGGCCTCATGTCCCTTGTGCCCAAGAGTCAGTGGCCCTGTCCGTGCTGGCCTGTAGTGACAATGTGCAGCAGCAGCAGGTTAACAACACGTGACATCCAACCACACACTGTTTGGTGTTGATCTGAGCTTTGCCCAAAACCGAGGGAAAAGGGGGAGGGGGTGGGAAATCAATGACTAACATAAATATATGACTAATGACAAAAGAGATAGGGAAGGGCAGCAAACCCCAGAGGATGATGCAGGGCCAGTGCAGAGACAGTGCCAGGTCCCCTGGGACACAGTGACTGCTGCTTTTACTTTCAGCCCAGATGGTGTCCAAGCCCTGTGTGCCAGCCTGGAGCAGCAGGAGCATGGTGAGGGCGCACAGGTTACCCTTGGCAAGTCACACCAAGGGTTCTCGGATACAAAGGTTTCCCCACCTCTTCTCCCAGATTATTATTTTCACAATATAAAAGCATTTCATCACTGCCTCAAGCTCATGGGTTTGTCAGGAGAGGCGCAGAGGTTTGGCACCAAGGGAAGAAGGAAGAAGAGACATGGAAGGAGGGATGCTGCCCACATCACCCCATCCATACCTGGGAGGGGGACATCCTGGTGTACATCACCTGAGGTCACAGGCAGCCAACCTAAAATCCACGTTTTCCCTTTAAGCAGCATCCGGGCCCCACTTTTACCCATGTTTTCCAAGTCCACATAAAATTCCCTCTGGTCTCCCCCAGCACCAACCCTAGGCAGAATTTGGCCAGCCTTCAGAGTCTCACATCAGGATATCCAGATGTGTTCAGACAAATGTTAATTCTGCAGGTTGGTATTTTCCACAACAAATATGATTATTTATTTCCCCTTCCCCTTTTTATCCCTCTTTTTTTTTTTTTTTAATTTCCCCTCCCCCTCAAAAAAGCTCCAGCCGAGATTGCTCAGCCCCTTCCAAGAATGAGGCTTTAGAAGAGCTATGCTGCTCCACCCGTGCATTAACGAAAAAAGTAATAAAATATGGCAACCCTTTCCTTAATTGGCACGGTGACAGCAGGATACAAAATCTGGGCAGCAGTTGTCTCCATCCTTTTTGTTGTCCTCGGGAAAATGAGTTCAAAACTGGATCAGTGTTGAGGGGAGGACAGAACAGCCTGTGCAGCAGCCACATCTTGTCTGTCTCACCCCCGAGGAGCCCGGCGCAGCCCCCACAGCAGCAGGGACCCGTTCTGCACCTCCAGGGGGAGAGGTCCCCCCTCCGTTCCTCTGGAAGGGAATGACCCTGCACTCCTGCCAGCTCAGCCTTCCCAACCAACTTGCCTGAATCTGCCCTTGGGATGGGCCTGTCCATGAGAAACAGGGTCCTAGGAGGGAACACGGCCCCAGCTGTGTAATCAGCAACAGCTTCTGACCTAAGGAAGGCTCTCCAAGGAGAGGAGAGGCCTTCAGGCTCCTCCAGCCAATTCATATCTACCGTTACTTATTTTTTCTGTGCTTTATTTCCATCAGCTGTGCATATTTAATACCAAATTTGAAGTTCAAAGCTGCAGCCAGCACAGAGCATCCCTCAGCCAGGCCAGCACGGAGCACCCCTTGGCCACATCATCGCCTCTACTCCTCCCTTCTGGAACACCTGAACACATCAAACAAAATTTGGCCTTTCCTCCCACCACTCCCACCGTAATAACGCCACAGATTTGTCTGAGGCTTACTGAAAATCCCAGTGATCCCTCTCCCAGCTGCCCTCCCCAATCACTTTATTGCCATACTAGAAAAAGAACACCGCCTGCTGCAGTTAAACTGGATTCCCCCTATAAAAGCCTGTGTTGCTGTCCCTAATCCATCAAACTGAAACAGCATTTCCGTACCAGCTTTAATTATTTTCCCAGCCAATTTGCTTGGTGCTAAAGCAAGGTTGCTCCACGTAATTTCCACTGCTCTCCCTGCATCTCTTAAATAAAGAACAGAGCCGGGAGGCTGGGCTCCCATGCAGCAGTTCACTTCAATGAGAGACCCCTGTGTGCTTCGTTCTCAAACCCTCCAGGAGAGCCACCAGAGCACAGCAGGCACTGGCCATTTGTGCTCTTTAACTCCTCCATTTGCACAGCACCTTGTTCCCTCTGGGAATTTCACCTTCATCACTGCCTTCACTGATGGGATGAGAGCATTTTGCTCCATCACAAAATCCCTTAACTCCTGAATGTCTCCTGTCAGGATCCAAGGCTGGGAGGGGCTGTCTTGGGTTTCCTA